GTCTTTTGGTGAACATATGTGTTATCTATAGATATTTACCTTGAAGGGAAATTGCTGGGTTATAGGGTGAGCACTTGTTCAGCTTTAGTGGTTATTGTGCAGTTTTCCATAATGGCTATGCTAAATATTATATTCTACCAACAGCATATGAAGTTCCAGTTGCTTCACATCCTGACTGGCACTTAGTATTAGTTTTGATTTGTTTTGATGTATTAGTCATTCTGTTGGTCATAATGGTTTGGACTTACATTACCTGAATGACCAAGGTTGTTGATCACCTGTTCATGCACTTACTGACTTCTTCCTTTTAATAATTGCCACATTCTTCCCTCTCTTACTTCTATTTCTTAGTCCCACCTTTTCTTATTTAACAGCCGGTCACCAAGCACAGGGAGAGGGGCCTCCTTGGAGCTCAGCAAAGGCAATTGTGTAAACTTTGTCTCTGTCTGGGCTCTTTTACAGCCTCAAAGTACCACGAATTCCACTGCTCCAATGCAGATGGGTCCCAGCAGGGTTGCTGCGTGTGTCTATGAGGAATGAGGTTTCTGGATTCTGGCCTTGCCCATCTGCCTACTTTGCAGAATTATTTTCCATTACATAAGACTCTGCAAAAGGCCTTGAGTTGCCGAGAGGAAAGGCACTGCAAAATGCAAACTAATCAAAGCATTTATATCAAAGAATGGGAGAAATCCATCACTCCCTTGTCTCTGGAAGAGTCCCATTATCTGATAGCTCTGACTGACTTATCCCCACCTTATCTAAAAGGCAAGATCTGCAGGCTAGAAAGAGCTTCCTGCCCCCACCCCAAACCTTCAATAATTTGCCTATTAAGCCCAAGGAGAGTGGATGTGAGCAAGAGAGAGGGAAAAAGGCAAACAGCTGAGCATAAACTACTGGTTTGTCATAACTTTATCCTAGGCTCTCTTAAATAATTCATTTAGGTCAGTTTGTCCATACATGACATGGACCTAACTGAACTTAATTGAACTTATCTCATACTTTGCAGAGATTATACAAATAGATTTCATAAAAAGCATAAAGCACTTGAAGTTGCAGAAAGAAGCAAGGAGGCAAAAACAAGATGCTTGGGTCAGATTTAACAGAGGATCTGAGGCTGGCCTAAGGAGCAGAAATGGTTATGGACATGAACTGGTGAACCTCCATAGTGTGTGTCCACTGAGACACCTAAAGGGCATATGGGTGAACTAAGGGTCTCAGGGCGCCCTCTTCCTCTGTCAAGAAGAAAGCATTAGAAAAGCAGAGTCTCTCAACATAGATTTCATGGAGTAACCAAGGACAGGGAGATACTGCTAGGGGTGAGAGAGGCAGAATGAGAGTGCATGGGCCGGGGTGGGTGGTGCAGCTCCTATGTGAGTAGAATAAACCAAGACCAAGGCTGTTTTCCACAGAGTGCTCTGCAGTACCACAACAGCCATAATCATGTGAAAGCTTTCAGTTTGTATAGTACTTTGACTCCTCAGTGTTCACTGATACATGTCATCTCACTCCTTTCTCAGATTTAAGAATCATAGCCTACTAAGGTTTAAGAGGCCTGAGAGATGATCTTAGATGGGGAGACAGAAACTCATGGGGGTCAAGTTACTTCCTCCATGTCACACAGCTAGGGAATGGCAGAGATGGGGTTCTAAACTGGGACGCAGGGTTTGACATCCAATGCCCCTTCTGCTCCCCACACTGTTGGGAGGTCGGAGGGCTGTGGGGCTGGCTGACAAAATGGATCTCACAAAGGGTGAATGAATCTGCTAACTTGGTCTGGCCTCAGTAGACAAAGTACCTCCTTGTTTCTTAAGCCTTGGAAGACATAAGAGTGAGTCCCAGAGGATGTCCTCATGTTTCTGAAGGTGCTTCTTTTCCCTTGTTCCTGACTCTGGGCTGCAAGGAGACAAATATGTACAGGGTAACTGCAGGCGCCTCTTGTCCCTGCTTGTGTCTTTGTTTTGGCCCAGAGCTGACCTTGGCTTACAACTAGGTATTCTTCAAATACATCAGAGAGAATTTGCTGGCTCCCAAAGCATTCCTGGGCTGTGAAGGCTATAATGATGAATTTGTGGGAAGGTGGAGGAGCAGGGTTATATTGCACATCCATGGGGGCATCTTTCATACAGGACAGACTGTGACAGGAACCCCCTGGAGGTGTGTGAGACAGAGGCCCTGTGCATATCCACTGCAAAGGGAATAAAAATTCTCATCATAAACCATCTCAGCAGACACTTTCTAGAGCCCCACCCAGACGCTCTTAGCCACCCTGAAGGCCACCAATAGGCAGAGCTCCTGGACAAAATGACTGTCCTGGGATGGGCACTGGTGCAGAATAGGGTAAAGGTGCTGGAAGCTCAACACCCTAGGATCAACTCTTGATTAATGAGGAAAGGAAGTTGGTGTATAAACAGCATAGCTTCACTGCTTTTCAGTCAACAACATCGGAGTAGGTCTCCTGGAGTCTCCCGGGCTCCAACGCGATAAAGCCCTTTATTGGTTTCCTTCTCTTCCCCATCTCACTTCCTCAGCCCTTCCCCATGCTTCCTGGGGTCACTTCCCAACTTAACTACCTGCATCTAAATCTTCATTTTAGGCTCTGACTTTAGAAGGCTCTCAGATTAAGACAATCTCAAGGACCTCCCTTCCTCCAACAACTGCCAACAGTGTCTCCCTCTCTGCCCACCCCTTAGCCCCAGCAGTCTGAGCTTCAGTTTCTTCTCTCCTGGATCTCACCTCTAGTGAACATTACATCTTGAGAGCAAGCCTACCCTGCCCAGATTCTATCTCCCATCTCTCCCCTTTACTCACTCCCATTACAATGTCAGAGTTTTTCCTGTAACTTAAGGATACGGGAAAGCCTACACCAGATATGGACTTAGCCCAGAGGAAGTAAAAAGGGAACAAAATGGCAGTATTATTATTATTTTATCTTTTATTTAACAGCACCTTTCACAATTCCTAGCAAAAGAAGTAACAAATTAAAGACAGTTACCAGTGCTTTCACATGCCTCCCATTGACAGGAGAGAGTCTAGGCACTCTCCTTCCTTAAATCTGGGTGGGCTCTATGATTTCTTCGACCAATTGAATATGGAAGAAGGGACACTGTGCTAATTTTGGTGCCCAAGTCTGAAGAGACTGCCAGCTTCTACTTCTTTGTCTCTTGGAACACTCACTGTTAGAGTCACCATGTAAGAAGTCCCACTCACTTACTAGAGATACCAGGTGGAAAGGCCTTAAGGGACATGAAGAGGGACAGCAGCCCAGGGAGCCCAGCCTTCTA